CAGTCTTTGCTTCCTGATCAAACCTTCTGTAACTTCCTGAGTGACTCAGATGTTCCCAGAACCTTTCATTTCAGCTTCCCAAGCCAATACAGCAGAGGCTTCCAGATTGTGTGTCTGCTGGGCCTCTTTCTACCTTGACTGAATCCATCTCTACTTTCCTTTGCTTGTTCCATAGAGCATAAACATGTGAACATCACAATCTATGGTTTGAGGTGGGAGAATGCGGAGGACTTGGAGGGACTTCCACAGAGCAGACACTCTCAGTATTGTACTTGTCTCCTCTTCCTCGCTAGTTCTCTCTGCTCTCTCTTGAACTCTGTGAAGGTTAATTTGCTTGATGTATGTTTGTTGAATAAATGAATACAGAAATCAGGAGATAGATTGCATTGGGAAAGCCTTCAGTTAGGGACCTCTCCAAATTCCTGAGGAATAATGATGTCATTTTGAGGACTAAGGGGCATCTGATTCAGGCCGTGGTTTTTTCTGATCACTTGCTGTACATCTGACAGCTGGACAGTGAATAAGGATGACAGAAGAAGAATGATGCTCGTGAGTTGTGGTGTTGGAGAAGAGCACTGAACATCCATCTAGCCCATGAATGGCCAAAAGAACAAATAAATGTCTTGGAGAGGGTGTAGCCAAAGTGGTCTTTGGAGGCAAAGATGACGAGGTTTAGCCTCACACACTTTGGCATGTTGTTAGGGGCTATTCCTTGGAGAAGGACATGTTGCCAGGAAGGATGGAGGGTTGGTGAAGGAGAGGAAGACCCTCAAGCAGGTAGATTGACATGGTGACTGCCGCAATGGACTCTTATGCATCAGGACATGTGAAGACGGCGTGGATAGGATGGGGCAGATCCGGTGTTCATAGGGCCGCTGTGAGTTGTACTCAACTCGATGGCACTTGACAACAGTGTAACTAATAAAAATGACCATGGTTCTTCTTTTCAGATGAACTGTTTTAGTTGACTCTAACTCATGGTCAGGCCTGTGTGCGTCAGTAAGTCACCTACCTCAGGGTTGTCCTGAAGTGGGCCGCTGGGATCTTTTTCCAAAGCATCTTGGCTACAATCAACATTTCTCCCTTTCAGGAACAGCTAAGTATCTGCACCACCATTTGCGCCATACTTGTGTCTTGGTTTAGTCTGTGGTCACTGCCTTGAGACCCTCTCAGGTGAGGGGATAGCTCCAAGCCTGAAGGGATTCAAACTCCCCACGTGGTCATCGTGGGCTCCATCTTCTGTTAGGTGCGTCCCCAGATGCGGAAGGGCTTTCCCATGCTAGTGCATGTTGGTATCACTTCTCTGAGTCCTTCTGGTTACTCACTCTCAGTGTTTCTGTCACCGTGGTTTTTCCCTGCAGTGTCTTCTCTCTGCCCAAAAATCAGATGATCAAACTGTGTGTTAGGATGGCTTTGTGTTAAATAAAAGTAAATCATCTTCCTCTCTGTGCTGGGGGTTCTCTCCCCAGTCAGTGGCCTGCGTCTTTGTGAAGTAGAGTGTTACTGTACTAAAGTACATAATTGTTGTTAGGTGCCATTGAGTCAAGTAGGACTCCTAGCAACCCTAGAAAAAACCAGATCTGCTCCGTGTCCTGTCCTGTGCTATCCTCATCATCTATAACACACGTGTGCTCATTGCTGCAGTCACCGTGTCAGTCCCACTTGTCGAGGGTTTTCCGCTCTCTTGCTGACCCCCCATCTTTCCAAGCATGATGTCCTTCTCCAAGGAACAGCCAACCCTCTTAGCAACGTCCCCAGAGTATGTGAAACAAAGCTTTGTCATCTTTGCCTCCAAGGAGCACTCCCACTGCCCTTAGATAAAATTTCAGTTTCTATTACATTGTTGTACCATTGAGTGCATTGGGATTTGTGATTCCCCTAGGAGCACAGATGAGCTCCTTACCCTGTACTTCCCTGTCATCACAGTATCTGATAGAAGCTCATAATTATTGGGGAAAACCATTATTCTTCTGTACTAATTTTTGTTATTTATTCTCTCACATCATATACAGATTCACCCTTTTGAATTCTTCACATTCTGATATATACCTAGAGAACCATCGTGGCCTAGTGCATAGGGAGTTGTGCTGCTAACTCACAAGTTGTGCCCCTTTGCAGTTCGAATCCACCCATGACTTTAAGGGAGAAAGATGAGCTGTCTTCTCTCGTGAAATTTATAGTCTCTAAAAACACATTGGAGGTTCATCTGTGAATTGGTTCCAGCTTGATGGCAGTGAGTTTGAGGGGGTTTTAAAAGTAATAATCTTTTAGTGAGTTGAGAGATGTGATAACAGTAAGATATAGCTTCTATTAAGGAGCTCTGGTGTCAAGAATCTGTGTTGCAATCCCGAAGGTGCACAGTTAGAATCCACCAGCTGCTCCCTGGGAGAAGGATGGACAGATCTCCTCCCGTGTGATTAACAGCCTCTGAAAACCCGCTGGTGGGTCAGCTGTGGGTCGGTTCCGACTCGATGGAACACAGCAACTGCATAGCTTACGTTAATCTGCCAGTTTTCTCTTAGCCTTGATTTACTTTTACAAGTATGACATTTCAACGGATGTCACAGCAGGTGTCATGTGTCTGGCACTTGAGGAGATGGCACTTGGTAGCACATTTCAAGGAGCGTTGTTGATTTGAATGACAGTTCCTGGCTCTTTTGAGAATTCACAAAAGTAAATTTTACTTTTTTGTGAGTGGTCAGAACTAGAGAACTAGACTATTTTTAAAAAGCATAACCAGTGCTTACCTGTGACTGCAGGTATCTAGCAGAGACGTTTTTAATATCCTTTAAAGGGAAATACAAGGACTTTACGTTCTACTTGATTACAGATTGACTGGTAAAAGGTTTGGGATAAATTTTCAAAGACTTGACTCTAAAATGGGAAGCAGATCGATCGTGTTCTAAAGTGTTAGGTCTGAAAGCCCAGCATTCTGTTGTTCACTTGGAGCTCCTAAGTGAGCATGGGCATTAATGGTCATGCGATAACTTCTCAGAGAGGCCCGTCTTTATGTGATACTTACTTCCAACTCTGAGCTGATGGGTTGTCTTCTTGGAGAAGCAGAATTAGTTTCCTGTATTAAAAATATATATAAGGTGTGGCGAGAGCCAAGGGGAACATATGTTTTACAAAGCAAACCCAGTGTGTGAGGTTGACTGCAGGTCCTGTCGGATATGGCGGTGACAAAAATTGGGACGTGGAATATGGATTTTGGGTATGATGGGAACGGTGTTGGGACTAGCAGTCTGAAAACTTGGGGTTTCATCTCATTAGAAAAGAAGCATACGTACGCTTGGAGTTTGGTAAATGTTGGTGTGAAATGGGACTTTATGACTTCCCTCCCCCCCTGGACTCTTTGCCTCCCTTCCTACTAATACTCTTTGAAGACCCACCACATTTCCTTCCCTGAAAGCTGAAGGTGGGACTCCAAGGGCTTGGGAAAACAGCGCAGAGGCATGTGAGCACTATGCTTGCTGAGAAATAGGTGCTTGGTAGAACTTGGTAGAACTAAGTTATGTATCTCTCCCATGTGCAGGTGACAATCTAAATTCCAATTGGTTTGGGATAAAGGAGTTTCTTATCTCGTATTCTGAGATTTCAGGAAGTTGTTAGCAGTGACAGTGGTCTCAGGGACAACTGGAAGCAAGAGTCCTCTTCCCCGCTTTTCTTTGCTGCTCCATCTTTGCTAATAGCGTTTAGTCAGAACCACATCCTCCGCAGCTTGAACAGAAGCACTGGCTGCCTCGGTTTGCATCCTCTGCGTCCCGAGCGTTGTAGGAATCCTAGGACGAGCTTAGGGCATGAGTGCCCGGGGGCATCTGGATGATATGTTAAGAGTGTCAGGAAAGACTATCTCCCAAAAGAAGAGTGTGGTCCTGCTGCTGTGCATTTACCTCTGGTACCTTCCCACTTCCTGATTGGCCTTTCAAGAAGCACTTGACCTCTGTGGGCTTCATGTTCTCCTCTGCTGTTCCCAGGAGTTGATGGCATACTTAATGGATATGAGAGCGCTTTAATGTTTTAACGTTTCTCTGTAATGTTGTGGTGTGTGTGTGTGTTTGTTTGTTTGTTTTTTATTTTATTTTATTATTTTTGTGTGCGTGTACCGTCAAACCAGATCTGACTGGTACAGGAGGAGATTGTCCCTCCTTACCCAGCAGAGCATCTGGTGGATTCGAACCGTTCGCCTCTGGGATTGTAGTTGCAGCTCCTTGCCACTAGGCCACCAGAGCTCCCCTTGTTTGTTTGTTTTTAACTATTACTGTTCTCCCTGATTGTGCCTTCCAAATCTTGACGCACCATCCAGGGACCTCAGCCCTGAGGAAGCAGAGGGGGACTGGACGGTGATCGGAAGACCTTAGTGTAGTGCTCTTTGTACACACGTCGGCCGTACTCCTTTATCTAGCAATACTTGTGTTTCTTCTTTTTGCCACGTTTATTATTTATTATATACACACAGGAAAGAGTATCTGTGTGGATTATATCACGTGATGAGCTTTAACAAGCATCACAGTTGTGCATCCAGCGCCTGGGTTATGATCCAACAGTAGCCGCCTCGTAGAAGGCCCCTTGGTAGCACTGGTGGATCGATACACAAAATGTACTGATTCATCATGTAAGAAATCATTTAAGAGCATTCCCAGCATCGTGGTGGCATTTTTTAATGCTGTGCTCCACCCCCCCGCCTGCCTGCCTCTCTTTCTCGTAGGTTATTTCCCAGGCAACACTTGCTTAGTGCCCTGGTTGGCTGATGCCTTCCCCAGTTCACCCAACACTGAGGGACAACAACTTACTTTTGTGGAGTGAGTCTTTATTTATCCAGAGAGTGTGGCTTATTAAATTCTGGACACCTCAAGTCTTTGAAGTGGGTCGTTCTTAATAAATGTTAGATTGCTATAGTTCTGTTAACTCAGAAAAACAAAACAAACACCATGCTAGAGACATTTTTTCAATTTAAGAAGTTTTCTGATATGCTTCTTCCTGTTTGTTTTTTCTTTTAGGCTCTAGACCAAGATAGAACAGCCCTACAGAAAGTCAAGAAGTCTGTAAAAGCAATATATAATTCTGGCCAAGGTAAGTACTTAACCAAAACAGATCACAGCAATTATGAATAATAACTGCAGAGTTCTCTGTGCTGTTTGTGAAGTATGTTTATAGACATGTTGATACTAATGGAAAATTAAGTTGGCCAAAGAAATTTTGTTTTCTCTCTTCTCTCAACCTGCTTCCAAATGTAAAAGGAAGAAAACTAGTTGCAGCATATTGTGATTTCATACACACACACACACACACACACACACACTAATTAGGGAGCTCTGGTGGCCTAGTGGTAAGACTATGTGCTGCAATTCCAAAGGCATGCAGTACAAATCCACCACCCGCTCTGAAAGAGAAAGATGGGCAGTCCCCTCCGGTGCTATGGTAGAGTGTGAAAACTAATGAATCTGCCATGAACTGATAAGCCAAATAGTTGTTAGAGAATGAAGAACATTTCCTTAGGGGCTGGCCTGTGACACCTTTTGTCACACTAGCTATAAGGGGAGGAAAGTGAGCTGCGTCAGCACCACTAAGAAGGAATTGCCAGGAGTGGAGAGTGTCCTTTCAGATCAGTTCTCTGCATGAGAAAGTCCCTTTTCACCAGCAAAGACTGCGATTTATGGAGCTGTGGCCAAGGAAAGCCAGGCCTGCAGATCCTGACGGCAACAAGGACCTTTCTCCAAAACTCGCACAGAGGGAGAACACCCTCCTAAATTGTAAGCGACTAAATATGTTTGTTAAAGTCATCTACTCATATCTCTATTAAAGCAGCAATAGATGACTAAGACAGACCAAAGTATGTTGTTAATGGAGAAGGAGAAACAAACCAAATTTTTGAGATAAACAATGAGTAACCACAGGAAGTCATGGGCCATAGGGATGGGAAGACTTGGAAATAGAAAATGACTTGTAAGGCCTCAAATGTAAATCATTTATTGTTGCTGTTGTAAGAGCTACTCCCTTTCCCATGGACCAGTTCTTTAAGAAACCAGTTGTCTGTAACAAGAAAACCAAAGAGGAGGTGGCAAAGGAGTGTCAGGCAAGGGAGCAGGGTTTCAAGTTAAGAGAGAGGTGGCTGTCAGTCCTTGCTCTGATCCTCATGAACAAGGTGACCACTTTTAAAGCTTTCTGTGTATTCTTACCTGCAAAACTGGGATAGTGGTGGTTCTTTTACAGAGTTGTTGATACAGTTTAGTGAGATGAGTTCATGATACAGGTGATTAAGAAGTTTGGCAGTTAACTAAAAGGACGGAGGTTTTACTCCACTGAGAGGTACCTTGGAAGAATGGTTTGGCAACATAATAGTTCTGTGTTTTAAAAGCCTCTTAAAAACGACAAACCACAGCCCTAAAAATGCTACTTTGATGCTGCTTGATTTAATAAGTATAAAAAGTCTGCCACATGATAGGAGTTCAGTAAATGCCAGTTCCCCTTATTTCACTGTCATAAAATTATGGGGCTGAAAGGAATGTTGAACAAAGCAAAAATCAACCCTCAGATATTTCATGGCCCATATCTAAGAATGACTGGCCTTAACTGGTAATAGTTTCTTCTTTAAAACCATAGGTCATTGTTGTTTTATGTGCCATTGAGTCACTTGCGACTCACAGCGACCCTATGTACAACAGCCCTGAAACGTGCTGTCTTGTGCCAACTTTACTATCTCTGACACACCTATCTCATTACCTCAGTCACTGTATCAGTCCATCTCATTGATGGTCTCTCTCTTTCTCCATCTCTACACCCTTCCAAGCATGATGTCCCTCCTATATAACTATTAATACATTTGCACCTTGGATAATCTCCTTAATTTCTTTGTTGTTGTTGTTGTTGTTATGTGCCATCAAGTCGCTTGCGTACATCCAGTAAAATAATAATGTCTGATTAAGGCAGATAATTGATAATTGTCTGGTTATATAATGACCAAATGTTCTAAGTCTTGGCCTAAATTACGTGCGTTATGATTTCTGTCCTTGGCTTCATTTTCTTGAACTCCCGGAATGTAGTAAGCCCTTCATAGATACGAGTTCTTTGAGAAGGTGGGTGGGCTAGAAAACTCGTAGATAGCGCAGTGGAAGCTTTTGATGTGCTTCTGTTCTTTTTTTTTTTTTACTTTGGGTGTGTGATTCACTTTCTAGTAATCATCAAGTGCTACTTTTCTGTATATCTGTTAAACACTAATACTGACATTGTATATGTACATACAGGCAAGTTCACCATTGGTTGTGATTTGGAAAATGAGGAAATGAGGATTTCTTTTTTAAAATAACAGTATTAAAGCTCTACAACAACAATAATAGCTTTATACTAAAGAGTGCTAGTGGCTTCTTGTTGTTGCATGCCGTTGAGTCAGAAGCAACTCGCAGCTGACCCTCCAGAGTTTACAGAGGCAGTAAATCACATGGGAGGAGATTGTCCATCCTTCTCTGTGGAGCAACTAGCGGATTCGAACTGTGTGCCTTTGGGATTACAGCACAGGTTCTTACCACTATGCCACCAGAGCTCTTAGTAATAAAGTGTGCTGCCAACACAAAGGTGTGCTGTTCAGATCCACAGCTGCTCCACAGGGCAGAGGTGGGCAGTGCTCTCTTACGCAATTTACTGTCTCTGAAAACCCACTGCTGGGTCAGCTACGGGTCAGTTAGGACTTGAGGGTACACAACAACAGCTATACATTATACAGCCATTTGAAAACCATCCAATGGTTTTGATCCTAACCTAGTACTAAGAGTCCTGACTTTGTTACCACTTGTTAAAGTCTGATGAATTAGTTTCCTTTCATGAACCTTAACTTTCCGTATCCTAATACAGTATCTCAAATGCAAGGTATTGCGGCCAGAGGAAGACCTTGTCGCTGAATATCTGTAGGTAGAGAGTTGAAGGAGTGTGTGCAGAACTTCACTGCCAGGGCCTGTGAATTAACATTCTCTTGGTGGATGGGGAATCAAAGCCAAGAGCTTTGAATCCCTCAGCCTGGATTAAGGACTCACCTCTTTGCCTCCACCCAAGTCTGTGTTATGCAAAAGAGTCAAGTGCAGAGATACTGCTTTGAAGACCAGCATTTACTCACATGTTGTTGTTGATGATGATGTGTCAGAACGAACGCAGCTGACTCTCCAGCAGGTTTTCAGAGGCAGTTAATCACATGGGAGGAGATCGCTAGTCCTCTTGCAGAACAGCTGGTAGATTCAAACTGCATGACTTTGGGATTGCAGTGCAGCTTCTTACCACTAGACTTACTCACATACCACTCTTTAAATTAATTAGCACACCTCAACAGAAAGAAAGAGCAATCCTCATAACTGAATTTGTAAAGAATATAATGGGAAACAAAGAATTGAAGTCGTCAAGAATGTAATCCACACTGGAAGCAGCAGTCTGGAAGTCAGAGGGATTGCAGTTGGCAAATCTGCTGCCAGGGACCTCTTTAAAGTTATAAAGAGCAGAGACACTACTTTGAAGACTAAGGTGGGCCTGACACAAGTCATAGTATTTTAACCACTTCCTAAGTGTGTGAAAATAGACATTGAACAAGAAAGGTAGGAGAATTGATGCCTGTGAAATACCGTTTTGGCAAAGAATGTTGATTATGCCATAAATTGCCAAGAGAGCAAGCAAATATCTCTCAGAGGAGGTGCACCCATGGGTGCTATTTAGAAGGGACGATGGTGAACTTTACACTGTGGGCATGTTACCAGGAGGAGGCAGTCCCTGGAGAAGGAAGTCAGATTGGGTACATAGAGAGTCCGAGAAACAGAGGAAAGACCCTCAGTAAGACAGATGGGTACGGTGGCTTCCAGCAGTGGGTTTTAGCACAGCCGCTGACCCCAGGACGGTGACAAGTCAGCTCATCCCAGCTGTGCTGTTCACTGCCGCTCAGGGCTTTGTCTCCCTGACCCCAAGTTCAGGCTCAGTAAGTGTTAAATCTCTGCTTGCCCACTGGGTGGGTACCTGGTGAGTGCTCTGTGAAAGGCTTTTTGTTAAATATTCACAAACATGAGTGTTAGTGAATCACTCAGTGAACTCTCCTCTCCTAACAATCTAACCCATGAGATGACCTCACTGGTTCCTGGATGGCGTGAAGACATGTGCATAAACTGCATTCCCTCCGGGCTGCTCCCACGCTGCTGGGCCACAGTCTGGGAAGAGTGAGCACCAGCGGAGTGGGCAGCTGGCGTGGGAAGCACTATGACATTTAAGTCTTAAAAAAAAAATAGTTAGATGAGTAAAACAGTCATGCTGTGCAGCTCTTCTGTGACACGTGCTCAGGGAATCCACGCGGTCCCCATCCACCAGAGGCTGTTACCCAGTGTGTTTTCTCCATCTTCTCACTTTCTCACAGTGCTGAAGGGACAGGGAACCCATCTGATACTCTTCAAAGATTGAAGAAATCCTCCTGTTTCTTTTTTTTTTTTTCCT